GCTTAAACATAGCCTTTCTCGCAAATGAATAAACGGGCTCATAAAGAACAGTGCAAGGGTGTCAAATCACACGATCTCGGTGGCCACTTGACAACGCCAAGGCAAAAAATTACGCGACGGGGAAATTTCTGTCGCAATAAAGCCATATTCGCTTGTATTGTGTGACATGTGACGTTGTAACTACATATTTTCTTAGTCTGTTCCCCAATTGTAGGCCACAAAGAGTTGGTTATCATACTACCAAAATGCGAAAGTCTTAAAGTCCAACAACATCTTCGGACCAAACGGCCTACGAGTAAGGTAGTATGTTTTTTCTTCTCATAACTGAGGATATGAGCTCTAAATGTGACAATTTTGGCTCTTTATGAATTTTCCGAGTGAGAAATATGCTCCGTCGGAAAATGGCCGTCCGCTACTTGTTTTGTCAAGCACCCAAATCGACGTATGTGGACCTTATGCATGAGCAGCTGGCTTCAGTTCTTATGTGAACTATATACTCATGTCCAAGTGTAGGGGAAAGTCCAAGTTCAAAACATGACATAAGATGTTCTAGCTCTTGGGATCGTCGAGAAGTAGACGCATTCGGGACTTCGGTTACAATTTCACTTACAATCGCGTTGTTTATAATGGATTGGCCAAAACGATGATGCACAGGCTTTACAATATCTGCAGCCGATCTGGTGTCTCTGATCTTCTTTAATATTTTATCAATTGCTTGAGCAGTTTGGCGATTAGGTGCAACTCCTGAGCGATTAATTTTGATAAATACCTGACTTTTAACTAAAACAAAATATGTTTGGCTTGTCGTTTAAGTTTGACGGCTGTCAAAATATAGCCGTGTACTTTGGGCACCACAAAATGTATAACCCTATACTTTTATTTTTACTCTTCGCTTTGTGGGGTTGCTACCTACTCATGCAATTTATTTTCGCATACATGCATACATACATACATACATGCATATATTTTACTTATTTATTTCAGTTGTCCGTCTACTTTTTCAACTTTTCGTTTTAGATTTTTCCTTCGTATTTGACATTGGTCATTTCACTGGTGTCGTTTGATTCGTTTTTCTCGCTTATATCTTTTTGACTTTTATTTTCCCTACTTTTTATTCAGTTCATTGGAAACACACAAACAACTCTTCACTCTGATTTTGAGTGTATTGTTGTTGCTGCTGCTGTTGTTGTGGCAATTGATGAAGGGCATTTTGTTGCAAGCTCAGCTATTTTCAATTTACTCAACTGCATTCACAAACACAATCACACTAAAGTGGCTGTTTGGTTGTATATGTTAGCATGTAAGTGTGAAATTTTTGTAATTGTGTAGGTGCCCAATTATTTGGTAATTTGTATTGTTTTTTGTGTTTTTTTCAAGTTTTCTTCGTTTGTTTTCTTGGCAGTCAGCTGTTGATGTTGTAACCAGAGCAAGTTTGCTGCTGAGTTAACGATTAACGATTCGTTGATGAAGCGAACTACAATGAGTACCGTTAGCCTTTGTCTGTATTTTGATTTGGAAAGAAATGTAAATTAATTGAAGATTTTACTTAGCGCCGGTGATATTGTTAGGGAAGAGCATAATTTTACGTACATGGAAAAAAGGGCTAGGCACTGGGAAAAAAAATAAATTAAATTAAATATCAAAAAAATAAAAAATAGTGTATATTTTTTGAAGCTGAAAAAGGATTCTAAATTACCTGAGCCGATGAAAAAAATATTCAGTTCAGTCTGTCAAAAGCTGAATCCCACAGCAGCAAAGTATTTAGAAGTACATGCTAACATGCGGAAGGTTATGGGCTCGAGTTCTGGTCCGACCAACATCAAAAATGATTGAAAATTATATTTTTTTTATTTCGGACCTATCCAAGAGTATTTCTGACATGAAATAAAATATTCCGCAAAATTCCATCGACCATTATAGGCAGCTTAGAAGAAACTGTAGGTCCCCCGTTTGCTGGAAAATCGAAAGCCACAAATTAGAATGAGTTCGGCAGGAAATGACTTCAGCGTTCCCAAATCGCAAAAGTGTTATAGTAGTGAAAAAGGGAAAATCCTTTGGGAGGTATCAACTCAGCTACATATATGTGTTGCTATTTGTTTAGAACTTTTAAAACATTCCCCATCTATCACCTCGTTTACAGCATCAAATGGAACGAAACAACTACAACACAGGGTGACCTGAACTTCTAGCTTAAAAATAAGAAAAAAATGGTGAAAAAGAATATCTGAAACATCAAATATCACCAAATCTCATATTCAATATCTCAAAGTGGCAATAGGAGTTTGGAAAGTGAAGGAAGACTGAAGCCTTGTGATATGTTGCGTTATCGTGGTGTTAAGCCCGTGAGGAAAATCCGGGAACTAAGGTTATTTTTTTTGGATACATCAGGCACAAACTAAACGATAAGAAATTGTACTCAAACTCAATGTCAATATAGAACAGTTGTGCCAATTTAGCGGTCAAAGGAAATTTTGACAGTCTCTTAAGAGAGATTTTTGAATACGGGTGAACGTTTTTAGGTTAGCAGAATTGCGGATTGTAGGGGAGTGATTAGCCTTATTAAGATCGTAACGTTTCATTGTTATTAGACAATTAGCCTTTTGAGCTATTGTCAACATGTTACTTTCTTAAAGTGAAAAGTAAATCTGAAAGAGTTCGGATGTCCTGTCGTTACTAAAAGTTCCTTACTGAGCGAGCAAAATCAATTGGCACCATAATGAGTGAGAGGTCATTAGTTTACGGTGGCTCTTGATCGGGGGAAATATTAATTTAAACAACAAAGGAAATGCTTTCAAGACGACCCAAGATTAACTAGTAGCATTGAGGTAACTGCGCTAACCCTTATCCAAAATTTGAAAAAGTTGTCTTCGACGATGCTATAACAAAGGGGAGACAGCTCGCAGAAATTATTGGAGTATCCGATAAAACCATTTTTAAAATCCTGCATGTCATATTTTCATGGCCAACATCAGCGCAAGGGGGATGCCGAGAATGCTAACGCTTCCGCAAAAGAAGGAAACCGCGTTGCGTTGAGAACCCTGTATAAAGTGTGCTTCGATATTTTGAGCCACACACCCAATAGCCCAGATCTGGCGCGGAGTGGTTATTACCTGTTTTCGAAAATGAAAAAAAGGGCTGAGGGGTGAAAACTTGATCACCATTTATGAAGTAATTATTTGAAAATAAAGAAAAAACTATTTTATGAGGGTATACTAAATTACTTGAAAGATCTTAAAAATGTATCCTTCTTGCAGGAGAATATACTGAAAAGAAAAATAATTTTTTTTATTTCTAAACCATATTCGTGGGGATCAATTCTCAATATTTTGATTTATCAGAAATACTGTTAAGCCATTAACAGCAAATCACTTCCATCCTCTTAAGTTGAATATAAAATATTTTCTAAGTTAAGTCTTTTTATATGATCCTCACTGGTGTCTCTCTCTTTCAATCTATTTTTTTTTTTAATAAATATTCAGTTTGCCGCAATGTATGCACATACATATTTTCTGCTATACACGAAAGTCTTGATAAAAGAGAAATGCAAAAAATATTAACTGACATCATGTGGTGACTTTGGACGCAGACAGATAGCAACGATACATTTTGGATACTTTCGCCGTATAAAACTCATAGATTTTTTCTCATTAATGCTTTATTCATTTCACAGAAGTTATAAAAAGATACTGATATTTGTAGTGGTAAATTAGCATTTCAAATATTTTTTGTACAAAAAAAAAAAAATAAAAGTAAAACTAGTTTTATAAAAACAACAACTCATTTACCGTTAATCGTCTATGCTATTGTTGGACGTTTATAGCCACACACATTTAAGCCCAATAGAAATTGTGTAGAATATACATATTTTGATTTTACAATAAAAACTATTTTTTATTCATCTAAAAATGAGGCGTGGGGAAATGAAACATAGAGTAATAAGTAAGATTAAGACTATTTAAATCTTCCAACCACGTCATTTTAAAGAGATTATAATTTTTTATCTTTTTGCTGTCACGTAGAATTATTTCAAACAGGAATTTGCTTTACCTAATCTACACTCTATTCTTTTGAAAATGCCTTGGTTTTTGCAGTAATCGTTTAGGTAGCAACGGACACTGAGATTTGCATTATATAACAACTTGCCATTGTTTCTGGTTTGACCATTTACGGTAATAAGTCGAATGACATTATTTGTACCCACCATTGAGTTTATTTTTTATTTAGGAATTTTTTATTTCTTACAGTGATTATATAATATAATACTTGCGTAACACAATTAGAACATTGTATCACTAGCTTTATACTCAAGTCACTGTTAATTCAGATTCTGAGCTTGAACTTATTTGAAAGAAACGTTTTTATGAAAAAAAAATTATATATATAAAAAATTGATTGAAATAAAAAAATTATTAAATTAAAATAAAATGAAAAAATTAAGTAAAATATGTAATACATAAAATAAAATAAAATGAAATAAAATAAAATAAAATAAAATAAAATAAAATAAAATAAAATTAAATAAAATAAAATAAAATAAAATAAAATAAAATAAAATAAAATAAACTAAAATGATGTAAAAATTCAAAAAATAAATTGAAACAAAAAAATAAAAAACCAAATTAAAATAAAACAAAATTAAATAAGTTAATTTTAAATGATATAAAATAAAATCATGTTATGTGAATAAGACCCATCATCTACGTAATTAATTAATTGAACCGAATTGAGCACTGCCTTTTTAATCCCGGAATAAAATATGCAAAATTATTTTTGATACTTGATTTATGAACTATTTTAACAAAAATACATTTAATCTGTGTTTTTAATATAAAAAAAATTTCATTTAAAAGCAAGTAAGATTTAAGTGGAAAAATTCATAAGTACTAACAAATGCCAACAAAAACTACTGCATTTATGCTCTTTTAATATACATAAAGGAAATTAATTTACCTTTTCTAAAAAATAATCTTAATAAATCGTTTCTCTTCTTTTAATTTCAGCATGTAGCTCTGTTTCGAATGTAAGCAAACATGAAGACGCACAACTCATGTATAGACGAGAAATAAAAAATAAAATAAAAAACAAACGACTTGATAAATATATTTTGTTTTGCTTATAAAATAGTACAAAAATATCGACACAGAACTTAAAATAAAAAACAACAACAACAATTTCTATTATTGATTATGTGCGGCAGAGTGGAGCGACACAAGCGCACGGGGCAGCCAATGAACGTAGCGGCTACCACAGCAACAACAACCGCTACAACAACAACAGTGATGACAATAACTAAACGACGAAAATCTCACAAAAGCCAAATTTCCACACCAACAAACAGTATATTAATGAAGAAGAAGAAGACAACCACAAGTTGGTCACTTCCAATGACGACGTTGATGCAGCGCAGCGGACCGAAAAGCGCTCTAAGTTGGCTGGGTTTATTAACGTTGCTACTGCTGTTGTTGGCGACACGTAATACTGGTAAGTAATGCACGACTAATTTAAATGACAAAAGTGAAAAGAAGAATTCGAAATAATAAAAAAATATTGGAAAATGGAAATATGTCTAAAATTCATGAGAATACACAGGAAAAAGAAGATTTTTTTGAGGCGAAAATTCCATTCGATGCTATTGAACTGCAAGCGCTGAACAAGTGGGTTTGTTATTGTATTTGCATTTAAAATATTTTCAACGTACCTATGCATACATATTTATGCCTTGAGATACTCGTATATGTGACAACACTATGATGTGTCTACCTGTGGTTGCCTCACTTGTTCGTTGACTTTGTCATTTTTGTTGTGAAAGTGCGTTTATCTATTATTTATATATGTACCGTGCCTTATTGTCAGCTCGCTGTTGACGTCAATGCATTGGAAGTTTTACCCACATCTTTAAAGAATTTATATATACACATACGATACATAGATATACGTGTTATTTTTACTTAATGTGCACCTAAATCTACCCGCATATGCGTATGTATGAGACATTTTGTGAAATCATTGTTTAATGTAGCGGAAAAAAGTGTTCGCAAAAACAAAAATAAATACAAAAAAAAAAAAAAAAAAATAAAAATACAATAAAATACGCACTTTATTTTCGTAAACGCTTGTCATGCAGTAATTGGCAATGCAAAAAGCGTAACGAAAGGAAAACACAAAAATAAAAAAAAAATAAATAAAAAAAAACTAAGATTATAAAGCTGCTGGCGTTGTCCTAAATATTTGCACTTTGCAAATGCTCTCATCTCCTATACAGTTACCCATATATGTATGTATATACGAGTATGCTCCGCACATACATGCGGGGCTTGTATTTTGTGGGTGCCAAGCACCTGTACGCATATAAATTAACGGTTTATCATTCTTTTTGCTCATTCAGCGCTGATGAACTGTGACGTGTGCAATATATTAGATTAGAAAAAAATATAGTAAAATAAAACAACTAAAAGTGTACATTATATACAACTACCTCCACTATATGGTTATTTATTTGATAAAATTTGTTAAGAATAATTTAAAAATGTTTGCATCGTATTGGAGCAACCAAAATTTGGAAATTTTGGAATTTTCACTTTTAAAAAAATTAAAAATTTTCAACATTCCGTTGATGCCTTGATTGAATTTTTTTTTTGGAATTTATTTTTTATCATAATTAATTTTCTGTTGACCAAAGCTGGTCGCTTCTATGCAATTTCTTCTCTCAGTTTTGCCGTAGAGAGATAGCTTATGGCACATCATTACTTTTTAATTACACCAAACCCATAATAAACCCTTCCTGGCCGTCAATCCGGGCTTGGGGAGCGTTTGCGCCGTTCACTGCCCTTCGAACACGACTGCCTTCATTTTACCTTGCTGAAAACCATCCACTTTTTCTCACCAGTGCCCAGCCGGTTTAGAAACAGATCAACAACGAACCACAGATGGAAATACGGCCACAATTGATTTTCTAGTTAACTAATGTGACACCCATACTTTGAGTTTCTTTGAGTATCCAGCTTTTTCAACTTTCCCCTCAAGTGAAATACACTTTTCACATCGTGAATACAATGCCTTTATATTACTGAAAAAATATTATCTAGATTGCTCTTCAAAATGGTTTTCTACGGCCGCTTTCATTTCACTGTCATCTGAAAATCTTCGTCCCTATAAATCATTTTTTAAATTTGAGAAAAAAAGGAAAATGTCACTGGAAGCCAGGTCTGATCTGTAGGGTGGATGATTAATTTCTGTAAGTCCAGTAGCTTTTAAGGCATCCCTCGCAACCTCCTCGTGAACGGTTGTGTTATCTTGAAGAAACAACTCTCCGCGCGCTAACTTGCCACGTCCTGTACGCCTGACTCAACAAATTAACGTACATTCACCGTTCATGTTAGTTCCCTTTGGCAAGTAATTGATTAATAATACTCCCTAGCTATCCCAGAGAATGGTAGCCATAATCCTCTACGCCAACTTTTCCATTTTAATTTTTTTGTGGTTGCCTTCCCTCTTTTTTTATGCATGCATCGACTCCTATTTGGACTCGAGATCTTACTGACGAATCCAAGCTTCATCAACTGTTACAAAGCTGTGGCAAGTTTTCGACTATCTGAACATTTTCTCCTGTAACAACCGTCACTGGTCGCCCGGAGCTTGTACTTATGTAAAGTGGAGAGTTCTGAAGAACCGATGATACCTTCTTAAAAATATTTTTCTTGGGTGTATGCATTAATTCGTAGTGCGGTTTTTTTTTCGAAAATTAAGACTTTATTGTGAAAAAATTGTTATATGTTTAATGTTCAAAGTATTGCCTTCGGAAGCTACGATGTTTGCCCATCTTTCTTTCATTTATGGCTCCCAGCCCAAAAGAACTTCTCCGGCTTGGAGGTCAAGAAAGAATCGAGCCAATTTCTGATACCCTGTTCTGAAGTGAAGCGTACTCTGGTGAGGGCATTCTGTATTGATCTGAGCAAGTGGTAATCGGATGGAGGTATATCTGCATCGAATCAATTGTAGAGACGGTAGAGGTCCCCATTGATCGTCTGACCCGAATTCAAGAACTTATAATAGAGCACACCCTTGTGGTCCCACCAAATACATAGCATAACCTTGGCACCATGGATATTCGGGTTCGCCGTGGATGTCGATGGTTGGCCGGGCTTCATATACGATCTCTTGCGCTTTGGGTTATCATAATGAATCCATTTTTCATTGCCAGTGACAATCCGGTGCAAAATTGACCGATGATGGCGTTGAAGCAACATTTCCGATATGCAGAATCGACGCTCGACATCTCTTAGCTTAAATTCATATCCCAAGCTTCTGGATGGATCCGAATGATTTTAATCGTCTGTAAACCGTTTCTTGACCAACTCTAAACACTTTTGCAAGTTCTTCTTGCGTCTGGCATGCATCTGCGTCGAACAATGTCTCTAATTCTTCGTCTTGAATTTTGTTTTGGCTGTCCAGGTCGTTCTCCGTCGTCTAAGTCGAAATTGCCACTTTTAAACCGTGCAAACCATTTTTGGCACATTCGTTCGGCTGAAGCATGGTCACCATAAACGTCTAGTAAACTACGATGGCTTTCAGTGGCACTTTTCTTCATGTTAAAGTAATGAAGAAGAACTCCCCGCAACAACACTTTATCTGGTACAAATATCGACATTTTTAAATTGTTGTTCTTGCTAAAACATATGACATCTACTGAAAACGACGCGAAATAACAGTACCTTTAAAATGAAGATAGTCACAGATGAACACGTCGTGAAATAATACTAGTAGAGCCCTCTCTTACAAAACCGCACGAATTAATAAATACAAGTATATGTTTAATTTCATAAATTTTCGAATTTTGTTTGGATTTCAACGAAAAAAAAATCATTAATATCAATCATCAATATTTATGTAAATATGTTGTTGTGGGTAATCGAGTATTTCAAAACGTATTTTGACAGTTAAATAATTTCACATTACTCATTTATTCCAATATTTAAAAAAAAACTCAATTTATTTATATATTTCTTTCAAAATCTCGTGCAACACTCATCTATTTGATGAATCAGACAATGAAGAGTGTGCGTAAGCAAATTTGTATTCTCACCACAAAATACTTCGCTTTTGTTAAAAAACAAAAATAAGCCTTCAGTATGCCTCGGCTGGCGCCAATATGTGTTGAAAGAAAAATTACGGAAACCTAACATTTACCCGAAATGTATTCATATTTATTTACATAATAACATATGTATAAAATTTATATACCGTTAAATGAAGTTATGTATGAATGTAAAGGAAACCGTTAAATACGCTGCTACGTTATGCATAACAACGTCGTTGGCTTAGCGAACGTGTAAATTAATTAAATTTTATATAACAAATATGAACATATGTTTGTATGTGTATGTGCATGCATGGCTTATGAGAAGCAGGAAATGTGCCACTAATTAAAAGTGCAAACATATTAACTGCTATGGGAATATCATGCTTCTTTTCATAAATATTAACTCAATTAAGACGCTTTTCCAGCAGCCGCAGCTTGCTGAGGGATTGAGATCTGCCACAAACGAAAGACTTAAGCTGCGAACTTTTTCCTTTTACAATTTCTTTTTTTTTTAACAGTATTATATATATATATACATATATATATATATATTTTTTTTTTTTCTACACTTTTACTTGCAATTTTTTCCCTTCTCACTGTCCAAACACTCTATGCACTATTTTTAAGTTATTTTGCGCCAAATGTTAGCAGTTAATTAGAGAAGCTCAGAAAAAATAAACCGTATGGCATTACAGACGACCTAAATTTGTTCAAAAGTCCATAATATGTGTGTGTACTTAAAAGCTGTAAAGTACCTCACATTACATACATACATATTTTATATCTTTATAAATTTGAGTGAAATCTGTAAGCAATAACACTGAAAGTGTTGTTAATAGAAGCTCTAAAGAACAGTTACACAAAACCAAACGGCATTTGATCAGATGGGTTTAAGCCTCAAGCCACTCTGAATGCTTCACTGACACCAGCAAATATTTGGAAAACCTGAAAAAAGGCAAAAATTTTAAAATCATTTCTTAATGGCGAAACGTTAAGTGTCTTACCAACAGACAGCAACATCTAATGGCCACTTTTAGTAGTGATACAAGAGACAATCTTGCTTGGGCACAGCACCTGTTGCGGCTACAAAGTTTGTATTTACAACAACTGTAAACACGATACAAGCAGAAGAGCAACTTCTATGTTTATCGACAACTGCGCTTTGTGATATTTTCTTTCATCTTCTCATCTGTACTTTACCGTTTCGTGTACAGACAGACAAGTCCAAATACCTTAGGTGCTCAGGTATAACTCAGTATATCATGATGTGTATTTTTTAAAAACGTGTTGGCGTTTGCATTTTTAATTATCTCAAATATATTTTCATGCCCAAAATAAATATTTTTTTCTTTTGTTGTGACCTACAAAAAATTCCCAAAGAAACCAATAAAAGTTAGAAATT